ACATCAGTTAGATGTTTTATACTGTTTTAAGCTTGATGTAGAAAGTCATAGTATTAATAAAATACATTATTATTATTGTTATTATTATTATTTTTACTATTATTAATGTTATTATCAATGCTGTCTTTGCTTTTATTGTTCCAGATGGATGATGAAGACTCGATTCTGCCTCATAAACTGCAGGCGGCGCTCGAACACGTGCTGGAACGGAGGAAAGAGTTCGCCTCTGACCTGGCAGATAATCCTAGCGGTGAGGAGCGGGATTAAATATATATATACAGTTAGAGTCAAAATTATTAGCCCCCCTGTGATTTATTTTTTCAAATATTTCCCAAATTATGTTTAAATATCACTTGAGAAATATTTCAAAAACAATAAATAGGCTAATAATTCACTCAACTGCATATATTTTATCAGTCTTTCTTTGAATGCACCAGTCAGTTCATGATCATATTCTCTCCCGGTAGAGCCCGGTTGTCTGAGTTCTGTGGTGTCGGAGGCGTTCGTGCGTTTCTTCGTGGAGATCGTGGGTCATTACTCCCTCTTCATGGGTGGCAGTGATCGAGATGAAGAATCCTCAGCCTCGTCTTCCTCTTCTCCCACTCCTTCATCGTTCCAGCGCGAGGCGTTCCGTAAAGCCGTCTCCTCTAAAAGCCTGCGCAGGTTCCTGGAGGTCTTCATGGAGACGCAGATGTTCGCCGGGTTCCTGCAGGAGAGAGAGCTGCGGAGGCAGGGCCTGAAAGGTTGGAGTGGCTTGTGTTTTTGAAAGAATCTTGGGAGGATAACATAAGTGTTCAATTGCTGTATTGTGTTTCGGACAGGTCTGTTTGAGATGAGGGCTCAGGACTATCTAGATTCTCTGCCCGGCGGCGAGAATAGAGGCGTCAACAAGTTCCTCAAAGGTTTAGGTAAAGTCTCACTGAAGAAAGTGGATCAATTCTGGCATGTTTGGAATAGTATGCTATTTACGTATATAGAGCTTATTGTATTAATATACAGGGTGGGCCATTTATTTGGATACACCTTAATAAAATGGGAATGGTTGGTGATATTAACGTCCTGTTTGTGGCACATTAGTATATGTGAGGGGGCAAACTTTTCAAGATGGGTGGTGACCATGGTGGCCATTTTGAAGTCGGCCATCTTAGATCTTGGTTTTAACGACGAATTTCATCTTTACTAAATGTCTACAACCTAAATATAAAACAACATTAGACTAAAAATAGCATTGTTTTTCTCAGTGGTGTGACATAATATTGCTCAACCATTTGATTGCATTTAAAATAAAGTGAGTTTAATTCAGTGTTTGTGATCTATATAAAGCAAACCGCCTGTGTTTTGCTGAAATTCTGAGCATATCTTATTTTTCTCACAGGACACAAGATGAAGTTTCTGTCCAAAAAGTGAAAAGTCGAGTAGCACGTGCACATTACATTCCCTCTGACTGACCGAGAGGATGATGAACTGAGGGCAGAGAAGAAACTGAGGACCAAAGGCAATGGAAAACACTGCAGAAGCAAAACCAGTGCATTTCCAGAGCCCCAAACTACAGGACCTTATTGAAACCCACTAACAGAAGCAGTCAGGAGGCTCCATGTACAGATCTTAACTCATTTTCAGACATTTCTAAAGGATAGAAAACAACTTCTTCAGAGACAGGAGGCTATAAATTAATTTATATTCTTTCTAGAAATAATAAGACCTTTGTAAAACTCCTTATTAAAATGATCATCAATATGCCGTTCGTTAGTTTGTTATAGTCTATTTATCGTAGATCCACTGTGGATTTCTTTTTAAGGAAACAATCACGCCACTGTGACTGAACGAAGTTTCTGTTTCTGTTTAAAATAAAAATGGAATCTGGGAAATGTTCTAGAATTCTAAAAAGATTCTAAAGTGGAAGCAGATCAAAGAGATGGAGATCAGCGATGCATTTCAGGAACACCACTACAGTTATTATCCACTTGACTTATAAAGTGTGCTTAATAAACAGTTTTCAGTATGATTTGATCAGTCTGCAGAATTGATTTCTTCTTTCCAGCTCTCTTACTTTTGATTCAGTTTTACTTGAGTCGCTTTAGTTTGATTCGATTTAATGCAGCTCAAATCAATTCAATTAAATTCAACGTTATTCAATTTGATTGAATTAAATTACATTTTATTAAATTCAACTCAAAATGATTCAGTTTGATTTGATTCCATTCAATTTTGATTCATTTTAATTTGAATGATTTTAACTCAATTTGATTCGACTCAATTCGATTGAATTAAATTCATTTAGATTCAATTAAACTCAAAATGTTTCAATTTGATTTGATTCAATTCAACGCAATTTGATTAGATTTAATTCAACGCAATTAAATTTGATTTGATTCAACTCAAAATTATTTAATTTGATTTGATTCAAATCAATTTTGATTCATTTGATTTTTAATTTGAATGATTTTAACTCAACTGATTTGATTCAGTTTGATTGAATTAAATTCAGTTAGATTCAATTAAATTCAAAATGATTCAATTTGATTTGATTCAATTCAACGCAATTCAGTTTGATTTGATTCAATTCAATTTGATTAAATTAGACTCAATTCAACTCAAAATTATTCAATTTGATTGATTCAATTCAATTTTGATTTAGTTTGATTTGATTTAATTAAACTTAATTAGATTAAATTAAATTTGATTCATTTATTAATTTATTTTCCTTCGGCTTAGTCCCTTTATTAAGGATGCCCTTCCAGCTGCAACCCAATACTGGGAAACATCCATACACTCTCACATTCACACTCACACACTACGGCCAGTTTAACTCATCCAATACCCCTATAGCGCATGTGTTTGGACTGTGGGGGAAACCGGAGCACAAGGAGGAAACCCACGCCAACATAGGGAGAACATGCAAACTCCACACAGAAATGCAAACTGACCCAGGCGAGGCTCGAACTAGCGACCTTCTTTCTGCGAGGCCACAGTGCTAACCACTGAGCCACCATGTCACCCTTAATTCAATTCAATGTGAATTAATTCAATAAAATTTGATTCAGCTCGAAATTATTCAACTGGATTCGATTCAGTTTAATTTAATTCAATTTGATTCCTTTCAATTGAACTCAATTCAGTTTGATTTAATTCAACTCAAAATGATTCAGTTCAGTTTGATTTGCAATAATATGTGTGTGTATTATATATATTTATTATGTATATACGATACACACACATACATAAAAACAAAACTGTGCAAAAAAATTGTCACATAGATATTTAAATGTATATATAATTTGTATCATATACACATATTTCATAACTAAATTAACATTTTCTTGAATAAATGCATGCGTATTTATAGACACAAATTAAATAAATACAACAGTGCAACACACATATATTATATCAAAAAATATTTGTATGCGATTAATCTTTCCAGCATTTTAGTATTATTATTATTATTATTATTATTATAACTTCAACAAATCACAGTCATGAAGAGAACAAAAAAAGAAATTCAAAAAATACACACACACCTGCTTTCCTGTGCACGATGACTTCACATGTGCTGATGATGTGTTCTAGCATCAGGACGTGTAGGTTATGAGTTTGCAGTGCAGTCCTGCTTGTGTCCAGTGGAGGGCTCCACAACCTGCTGGACAAACAACAACCTGTTGGATCTTCAGCAATGAAAACTTTTTCTGTGCAAACTCGACGATTTTGCATTGCATTTACGAGATAGAATCTATATTTTCTATGTTTTTTTCTGACAAATCAGGTGGTTATTTCTTGGATTACAGCATAATGTAAATATCTTGCTATTATGATACGTAGACAGCACATTTTAGCTCATAAGTGGCTATGTTAAAATACTTTTAATGTTTTATATCTTGTTACAGACATACAGTGTCATCCTGCAACTGTTCTGCAGTATATAAAATGTCCCAAACCCTATTTTAACTGTCCAAAAATGGTAGGATAATGTTGTTTTTACTCTCGGATAGTCAAAGAAAGTTAAAAAAAAATTCTGTTAAATATGGATAAAAAAAATCGGGGAAAAAAGTGTTTTAAGTAAATTCGGGAGAGGGGTCTGGATGCAGACCTGGTGCAGTGCAATCTGGGCTGCATCCAATGCTTTTTAATGGGCTCATCTAACCCCACCCCTAACCCTTTCCATCACAGTGACACCACTCGCTCCATTTGAGTGCATCGTGTCTGACACTGCATCGCTGAGGCTGCATCCAGATACTATTGAAATTCAGACCACAAGTCCACAAACATAAACATCATTTTTCTCTAAAAGTACATCATATCAAAAGTTGACGCTTAGATTTTTATTCTAATTAGGTTCCAATAAGCCCAAATAGCAAAGAGAAATAAAAAATGCTTGTAAAAAAACACCTTGGGCCTTAATAGGATTTCAGGCCCGATGCTAGCCGAGTGAAAGGGGTGGTTCTTTTTTCTCAAAAAGTGGACCTTTTTGCAGTTATTCACATCATTATGAGGTTTAAATACTGCATTTTAATGACATTAAGCACTTTTTTGTATAAATAGCTTGTCGGATGGTCATCATTATGTTCATTGCTTAGGCAATAACAATCTGGCCGCCACAACCGACTTTTCTCAGTTGGAATTTGGCCATTTGAATTAAAAAAAATAAACAAATAAATAAACAAAAACAATGTAGAGCTTCAAGGTTTTTCTCTTGAAGTTAAATAAAAAAAATCATGGATAACAATAGCCTGATTAGTATTAAAATTAACTTTAATATGGGCCACCTTTGGTGCTTCACACCTTTTCTTGATCATTTTTGGTTTCAATAAATAAGGTCCAATATTTAGAATAAAGGTGACTTGTGAAATGATTTCTCTATTTAACAACAATACAGTACACTCTTCAGCGATATTAATAATCTTGGTGTCATGATTGATAGAGCTCTGTGTTTTAATAGCCATGTTAAATCTATTGTTCGTACATGCTGTTTTCACCTGAGGAACATTGCAAAAATAAGAGATATGGCGTCAAAGGAAGAGATGGAAATGCTTGTTCATGCCTTCGTCTCTTCTAGATTGGATTATTGTAATGTTCTGTTCACTTGTCTGAACAAATCCTCAATGGAGCGATTGCAGGTTTTGCAGAATGCAGCTGCTAGGCTTTTAACCAGCACCAGTAGGTCACACATTACGCCTGTGCTTAAGGCACTTCACTGGCTTCCTATCAGTTTTAGAGTAAATTTTAAGATTCTGGTCATTACAAGTAGAGCTCTGCATGGTCAAGCACCAGGCTCGGATTGGCTAATCGGGAGGACTGGGAGAATTCCCGGTGGGCCGGTCCGTTTTTTGGCCGCGAGGGCCGGTGTCCCTAGCTCCAAAATCTGTTGCTCTCAGCAGTCGCACTTTTTAAATTTATTTATTTATTTGACCACAGTCTTCTTTTTCATTATTTTACCGTAGCTCTGCTCTGTTTATATATAAGTAGCCTGCAGGTTATTTTTGATATAACAACAATTTCTGTGGTCCAGTGGTTAGCATGTTAGATTACGACGCCGCCAACCGGGGTTTGATTTTCATCTGAGTATTTATTTATTTTTTTTTCATTTTTATTGTTAAGACATATAATACTGTTAGGGTTGTTGAACATTTGAAGTTCTAAAGCAGCTGTTTACTTAAAAAAGACGTGATTGTGTAATTAGAAACTGATTTGGAAATGACCTTATTTTAATATAGTCAGTCGTGAACTGAGGTGGGCCGGTCTGAGGCTTGAAACTCCAGGGCTGAAAAGCAGTCCCACTCCGGCCCTGTCAAGCACCCCTGTATATTCGAGATCTTTTAAGCAGTCACTCATGTAGCCGGTCTATGAGGTCTTTTAGCCATTCCCAGAACTCGTCTTCAGACTAAAGGTGACTCTGCCTTCTGTGTGGTGGCCCCACGGCTCTGGAACTCTCTCCCGCTAGCACTGAGAACTCTGGGATCAATTGAACTTTTTAAAAAGCGTTTAAAGACACACCTTTTTGGTCAAGCTTTTAATTAACAGCATTAGTGTTTCTGTATTTTGATTTTTAATTAGTTTTAACATGTTTGAACATGTCTTTTTTATTGTCCTGTGTTCTTGTACTTGTTTTCTCTTATTGTAAAGCACAGCCATATCACCCTGCAGCCCAAGGCCGGTTACTCACTGAAGCTAAGCAGGGCTGAGCCTGGTTAGTACCTGGATGGGAGACCACTAGGGAACACTAGGTTGCTGTTGGAAGTGGTGTTAGTGAGGCCAGCAGGGGGCGCTCAACCCGTGGTCTGTGTGAGTCCTAATTCCCCAGTAAAAGTGAAGGGGACACTATACTGTCAGTGGGCGCCGTCTTTCGGATGAGACGTTAAACCGAGGTCCTGACTCTCTGCGGTCATTAAAAATCCCATGGCACTTCTCGTGAAAGAGCAGGGGTGTAACCCCGGTGTCCTGGCCAAAGTCCCTCTATCGGCCCTTACGAACATGGCCTCCCAATCATCCCCTTCCACCGAATTGGCTCGATCACTGTCTCTCCACTCCACCTATAGCTGGTGTGTGATGAGTGCACTGGCGCCGTTGTCCTGTGGCTGCCGTCGCATCATCCAAGTGGATGCTGCACACTGGTGGTAGTGTGGAGAGAACCCCCTCATGATTGTGAAGCGCTTTGGGTGTATGGCCATACACAATAAATGCGCTATATAAATACACATTACATTACATTACACTTTGTGACTCAATGTCTGGGAAAGGTGCTAAATAAATGAACGTTTACTTACTTGCACTTTTAGAAATAAAGGTACGAGAGCTGTCACTGGGGTGGTACCTTTTAAAATGGTACATATCAATACCTCAAGGGTACATACTGGTACCTAAAGAGTACAAAGGAGTTCCTCTTTAAATTTGTAGGTATATATACGTTTAAGGGTACCAATATGGACTCTTCGAGTGCAAATGTGTACCTATTAAAAAGGTACCACCCCAGTGACAGCTCCCGTGCCTTTATTTCTGAGAGTGTAGCTCAGTGGTGAAAGATGACAACTTTAGTCAGATATGTTTTCTTGAAAAATAATTGTTTGCATTGGACAAAACTGATTAGCTGAATTCATGACAGCCAACAGAGGATTCCACTTGGGCTTAAAGCACTCTTCATCGGGTTATTTTCACAATTTATGATGGCAAGGCAGTCAAAGATAGACAGTGAGCTGATGTATGGGACAAATTCTGGAGCTTTATCAGTGGTGGGTGGGTCTTTCAAACCAACCCGAACCCCCCCTGTCCACAGGCCTGTTTAAAATGTAGAGATTTCATTAAGATTAAACAAGAAAAATTAGATTCAGTGATGTAAGAAAAACAAAAACTGCTAAATAAATAAATAAATAATGTATAAAATTACAAAGGGTGCATTTTAGGAGTGTTGGGCCCCATGCCTGGAACTGCTTAGGGCCCCCAAATCCCTAAAACCACCCCTGACAACATTCATTCATTAATTTTTTTTTGGCTTAGTCCCTTTATTAATGTGGGGTCGCCACAGCGGAATGAACCGCCAACTTATCCAGCATATGTTTTACACAGCGGATGCCCTTCCAGCTGCAACCCATCTCTGGGAAACCCCCTGATAACAACAGCAATATTATTATTAAATGCACTATTATGAATAAAACAGAAAGAACACACAAAATACACAAATTATTAAATATAAAATATATTTCAGATGTTAAAAACACTGAAATATGAGTTGGATGTTTGTTTGTGCCATTTTGACTCATTTTTCAAATATGTTCCTGCTTTTAATATCTAATTATCTTTGCCATGATGACAGCACATACAATTTGACTATAGATATTCTTCAGGATGCTATTATTCAGCTTAAAGTGACATTTAAAGGCTTAACTAGGTTAATTAGGTTAATTAGACAAGTTAGGGTAATTAGGAAGTCATTGGAAAACAGTGGTTAGCTATGTAGCCAACACACACACACACACACACACACACACACACACTCTTAATTACTTACTTATTTAAAAATTTCCAGCCAAAATAAATGAAATAAGTCTTCTGAAGAAAACTATAACAGGAAATAGCGAACAAATCACGGGAGAGCTAATAATTTAGTGTTCAGCTCTGTGTACATTGGTCATATCATGAAGAAAGTGTGTGTGTTGAGTGTCAGAACAGTTATCTATTGAGTGTGTCTACACACACACACACACACACACACACACACACACACACACACACACACACAGAGAGAGACAAACACACAGCTGTCTCTCACACTGACCAGAACAATGTGAATCCCTCTGGATCCAGGCGTGTTTCCTCTTCTCTCCACACCGAGTCTGTCGCTTTTCCTCTGGAAAAAAAAGCCGGACCTCCCTCCACACCTCCTCCTCCTCCTGTCCGCTCCTCACGCCAGAACTGCGGACAATTCCTCAAATTCCAGCCTTCCTCGCGCGCTTGCACACACTCGAGCAGATATTTACCGCCAAAACACCTCACACAGGTAAGACTTTCATTTATTTAACTCACTTATATTCATCAAAGTTAATGTTACACAGGGAAAACAGCGCGGATTTTCTCCTCACCCGAGAAACGAGTGCTTAATCTGACACTTGATGACGAAATGTGATGTAACAATGGAATATTTGGAATTACCGGAATTCCCGCGCTCTGTTTTTCTGCTTTCCCGCGAAACTTTGCAAGGAACTTTAATCGCGTCAGAAGCGCGCGGCCGCTCAGCGGGAGCTCATCACTGCGAGAATTATGGAGATTACGAACTTCACATTCATACTGTAAATATTGTCTGCAGGTGCTTTCTTGGTTCACCAGTTTAATAAGTGATTTAAATGCATATATGTGGGAAAACATAATTAATTTGATTTATAACTGTTTATAACTGTCGTTATGTCTGTACTGTCATGCATGTATGCATGCATTGATTTCGTGACGTTTGTTACAAAAAGCCTAATAATAATAATAATAATAATAATAATAATAATAATAATAAGGGTTTTGGGCACATGCACTTATTATTTATGTTGTTAATTTATTTTTATTTTGTTGTTGTTATTATTATTATTATTATTATTAATATTATTATTATTATTATTATTATTATTATTATTATTATTATTATTATTATTATTTAACATATTAAATGTGTGAAAGACCTTAACATTAGTTACACAAAACAAAACATTTTGTCTTTTTTTTTATTATTTAATATTTTTACTATTATTTTTTATAATTTTAATGTGTAAATTTACTTAATACTTTAATTTAATTTAATTTTATATTATTGTCAGTCAAGAGTTTTGGCCACATACTTATTTTATTATTTATGTTGTTAATGTATATTTATTTTGTTTATATTATTATTGTTGTTAATATTATTCTGATTATTGTTTTGCCACACTGTAGAATAACAATATTATTATGAAAGTTGTATTTAATATTTATTTAATATAATAAAAGTATATTTATTTTTAGCATTACGATTTAAGCGTCAGCTTGTTACAGTATTTTTACATTGATTTATTATTATTATTATCATCATCATCATTAACATTATTATTATTATTGCTATTTTTTATAATTATTTAACATAATAAATGTGGTAAGGACTTTAACATTTGTTACACAAAACAAGACATTTTTTTAAATGATTTAATATTTTTACTAATATTATTATTTACTAATATTTATTATTTTAATGTCTAGATTTACTTAATACTTTAGATTGAAAAGCATTTAATTAAATTAAATTTTAGGCACATGCACTTATTTTATTATTTATGTTGTTAATGTATATTTATTTTATTGTTGTTATTATTATTATTATTATTATTATTATTATTGTTAAGAATTACAGTAATATTATGAAAGTAAAATTTATCTTTAGATATTAAAATTATCTTTATTTTTAGCATTAAGATTTAAGCATTTGTTTGTTCCAGTATTTTTAAATTGATTGGTTATTATTATTATTATTATTATTATTATTATTATTATTATTATTATTATTATTATTAATTAACATATTAAATGTGTGAAAGACCTTAAAATTTGTTACACAAAACAAGAAATTTTGTTATTTAAAAAAAATATAATTTCATATTTTTACCAACATTTTAGTATTTTAATGTGTACATTTCCTTAATACTTTTAATTTAATTTTAATTTAATTTAATTAAAAAAAAAATTTATTTTATTTTATTTTATTGCCAGTCAAGGGTAGTTTGGGCACGTGTACTTATTTTATTATTTATGTTGTTAATGTATATTTATTTTGTTTATATTATTATTGTTTGGTAATATTCTGATTATTGTTTTTCCACATGGTAGAATAACAATAATATTATGAAAGTTTATTTATTTTTAGATATTATAATTATAATTATTTTAGCATTTAAATTGAAGCTTCTGTTTGCTTCAGTATTTTTACATAGATTTATTATTATTATTATTATTATTATTATTATTATTATCATTATTATTATTATTATTATTTATTTTTTAACAAATTAAACGTGTAAAAGATCTTAACATTCGTTACACAAAACAAGACATTTTATTTTTTAAAAATAATTTAATATTTTTACTAATATTTTATTATTTTTATGTGTAAATTTACTTAATACTTATTAATTTAATTTAATGTAATTTAATTTAATTTATTGCCAGTCAAAGGTTTGGGGCTTGTGCAATCATTTTAATATTTATATTGTTAATGTATATTTATTTTGTTATAATAATAATAATAATAATAATAATAATAATAATAATAATAATAATAATAATAATAATACTTATTATTATTAATATTATTATTATTATTATTATTATTATTATTGATTATATCATTCTGATTACTGTTTACCACATGGTAGTAATATTATAGTAATATTATGAAAGTTTTGTTTATTTTTAGATATTTCAATTATATTTATTTTTTAGTTTTTATTATTATACATTCTTGCTTTATTTTTAATTTTTAAAAGCAATTTAAGCTCACCATTTCTTTCCTTCATTAGTTAACACTGTGATTGTGGCAAGAAATCCAGACCCACAGTAGCATTCCCTTAACATTAATATTCCTGCATTTATGCACAAGTCTTCATAGTAATAAGTCTTAATTATAAGCATGGGTATTGAAACATTGCTTTTGCACAGTTCAGATGATTTTATGTATTTTATTTGTTCTATTAGTTACTAAATGAATGATCCTCAGACAGTCTAAAAGCAAATAAAGAAATTGCAGCCAGCAGCGGATCAGGCAGTTTTTTATATCTTTATATCAGCTGCTCTGGAGGCTGAATGTTTGTCGTGTCGGAGTGAGGAATCAGTGCCCTGCGTCCCGTCTGCACCCGAGGGAATAAATAATATTGTACTGGAACAACAGGTGGAACGAGGCCGCCGTCCACCTGCTCGCACCAATGATTGTGTGGTTTTAATAAAAAGCACAGGCGAGCATTATTAAACGCTGCATCTGTGTGAAACCTAGCTCTGTACATTTAGTTAAAGGGCTAGTTCACTTATAAAAATTACAATTCTGCCATCATTTATTCACTCTTTACTTGTTTCAACCCTTTACGAGTTTCTTTCTTCTGTTGAGCACAAATGAAGATGTTTTGAAGAATGTTGGAAACAGGTAACCATTGACTTCCATTAGTATTTGCTTTATTGAAGTCAATGGTTACAGGTTTGCAACATTTTTCAAAATATCTTATTTTGTGTTCAATAGGAGAAGAAAACTCATAATGGTTTGAAATCACTTGAGGGAGAGTAAACAGTGACCAAATGTTCATTTTTAGGTGAACTGCCCCTTTAAAGCGACTTCATACTTGTTTCTTTCTTCTGTTAAACACAAAAGAAGATATTTTGAAGAATGTTGGAAAATGGTAACCATTAATTTCCATATTAGGAAAAACAAGTACTATGGAAGTCAAGAGTTACCGGTTTCCAATATTTTTAAAAATATTTTCAAAAATGTCGGATACCGGGAGCCATTGACCTCCATTAGTATTTGTTTTATTGAAGTCAATGGTTACAGGTTTTCAGCTTTATTCTAACTATCTTCTTTTGTGTTCAACAAAAGACAGTCATTATGGTTTGAAACTGCTTGAGGTAGAGTAAATAGCGAGTAATGTAATTTTTAGGTTTATTCCCCCTTTAAAGCAACTTCATACATTTTTTTTTTCATCTGTTGAACACAAAAGATGATATTTTGACGAATGTTGGAAAATGGTAACCATTAACTTCCATAGTAGGAAAAGCAAATGCTATGAAAGTCAATAGTTACGGGTTTCCAACATTTTTTCAAATATTTGGAAAAATGTTTGAAATCGGTAACCATTAACTTTAGTATTTGTTTGATTAAAGTCAATGGTTACAGGTTTGCAACATTTTTCAAAATATCTTATTTTGTGTTCAACAGGAGAAGGAAACTTATAATGGTTTGAAACCACTTGACGGAGAGTAAACTTTGAGCAAATGTTTTTGGGTGAACTACCCCTTTAAAGTGAATTCATACTTGTTTCTTTATTCTGTTGAACACAAAAGAAGATATTTTGAAGAATGTTGGAAAATGGTAACTAATTAACTTCCATAGTAGGAAAAACAAATACTGTAGAAGTCAATAGTTACAGGTTTTCAATATTTCTCAAAAAAACTTTGAAAAAATTTAGAAATGGGTAAGCATTGGCATTGACTTTCATTGTATTTGTTTTATGGAAGTCAATGGTTACAGGTTTTCAGCTTTCTTCAAAACATCTTAGTTTGTGTTCAACAGGAGAAGGAAACATATAATGGTTTGAAAGCACTTAAGGGAGAGTAAATAGCAAAAATAAAAATAGTGTACACAAATAGATAGTAATAAATAATGAACATAAAAGAAGATATTTTGAAAAATGTTGGAAACCTGTAACCATTGACTTCCATTGTATTTGTTTTATAAAAGTTAATGGTTACAGGTTTTCAGAAACCATGGGAGGGAGAGTAAACAGTAAGTACATTGGCTTTTTTGGGTAAACTGCCCCTTTAAAGCAACTTTAAAGCCATTAAAAGATCATTAGGAACATTTGTAATGATTGTTTTCATTATTGATATATTGTTTATTTTTTATAATGGTATTTATTTAAAAAATTACAATTCTGTCATAATTTACTCACTCTTTATTTGTTTTAACTCTTTGCGAGTTTCCTTCTTCTGTTGAACAAAAGACATTTTGAAAAATGTTGGAAACCGGTAACCATTGACTTCCATGGTAGGAAAACCAAATACCATGGAAGTCAAAATGGTTACCCATTTACAACATTTTTCAAAATATCTTATTTTGTGTTCAGCTAAGGAAAGAATGTCATAAAGATGTAAATGATGACAGATTTAAAAAAATTTTTTTTGAGTGAAATATTTGGATGCTTACAGTGGGTATGGAAAATATTCAGACCCCCTTACATTTTTCAGTCTTTGTTATAGTTAGGCTAAAATCATTTAGGTTAATTTTTTCCTCATTAATGCACACACAGCAGACCATATTGACAGACAAACACAGACTTGTTAACACATTTGCAGATTTATAAAAAAACAAAACATTTGCTCTAATACAGCCGTGAGTTTTATTTGGGAAAGATGCTATGAGTTTTGGCTGCATGGCGATGCAGTGGGTAGCACATTCGCCTCACAGCAAGAAGGTCACTGGTTCGAGCCTCGGCTGGGTCAGTTGGCGTTTTTGTGTGGAGTTTGCATGTTCTCCTCGTGTTGCCGTGAGTTTTCTCCGGGTGTTCCGAGTTCCCCAACAAGTCCAAAGACGTGGGTACAGGATCCGCTGTGTAAAACATATGCTGGATAAGTTGGCGGTTCATTCCGCTGTGGCAACCCAAGATTAATAAAGGGACTAAGCCAACAAGAAAATGAATGAATATAATAAAAAACACTTAAAACATTTATTTTAATGTTAAAGTTTATAAAAAATATTGAAAAAAATAAGCAAATATAAACATGGGATTGCTATGAAATGCATATCAAAATAGTACATAAACACAAACACAAGATCACATGCTCAAACACACACATAATCAAACTCACACTTACCTACCCACAAACACAGACACAGAATACATTCATGTGTGTGTATAAGTAACATGCATAATAAACACACTCCGGCTGGACTCACACAGCACAAAACAAACACACACACACACGCAACATAAAATCCAGCGTAATCATGGCTGGAATGTAAAGCTGAGAGCGCACCTCCGCCACGGGCCGGACATTCATCTAAAGCTCATATTGTGAAGCTGCAGCCGAAGGCACCGCTCTGATCTCTCTCTCTCACACACACACACACACACACACACCGGACTCTCTAATAACGCAGCGCTAACGTGATAATAACACTAAAACAACACATCTGCCATCAGGTTAAAATGTGAGGTTAAAACGCTGCAGCAACACAAATACAATGTTATTTTAATGGTGCTATGCTGACAGGTTACAGATGTACAGCAGCAGATTTACTTAGAGAGAGATGTGTTTTGGGGACATATTAGGACACAAACTAATATAAATATAATATAAAATGGAGGCTTAATTCTCCTAATTTTAGTTGTGTTTGTGTTTAAATATTGGAAATTCATTGAACATTACAAAAATAATAATAATTCTTAGACATTATTTAAAGTCGAATGGCTACAAAACATAAGTAAAATGTATAAAATGGCAAAATGAACTGCAAAATGAATCAGTAAATGATTCACTGATTCAAATGATTTGTTCATTTGAAATGAGTCTCAAGTAAACGATTTACTGATTGCAATAATTTGTTTAGTGCGAGCCTCCGTGGAATAATTTACCAATTAAAATGATTAGTTCAAAGTGAGTCTCCAGTAAATGAATCAATGATTCAAATGATTAGCTCGGAGTGAGTCTGCAGTAAAAGATTCACTGATTCAAATAATAAGTTCAGAGTGAGTTTCCGGTAAAAGATTCACTGATTCAAATGATTAGTTCAGAGTGAGTCTCCAGTAAATGAATCAATGATTCAAATGATTAGCTCGGAGTGAGTCTGCAGTAAAAGATTCACTGATTCAAATAATAAGTTCAGAGTGAGTTTGCAGTAAAAGATTCACTGATTCATATAATAAGTTCAGAGTGAGTCTCCAGAAAAAGAGCCACTGATTCAAATAATAAGTTCAGAGTGAGTCTCCAGTAAAAGATTCACTGATTCAAATAATAAGTTCAGAGTGAGTTTCCAGTAAAAGATTCACTGATTCAAATAATAAGTTTAGAGTGAGTCTCCAGCAAATGAATCAATGATTCAAATGATTTGTTCAGAGTGAGTCTCCAGTAAACGATTCACTGATTCATATAATAAGTTCAGAGTGAGTCTCCAGTAAAAGATTCACTGATTCAAATTATAAGTTCAGAGTGAGTCTCCAGTAAACGATTCACTGATTCATATAAAAAGTTCAGAGTGAGTCTCCACTAAAAGATTCACCCATTCATATAAAAAGTGACTCACTCTGAACAAACTTGAAAGCAGGTAAGACAAAAGCATAAAAAAAATAAACACGTAAATAACGATAAGAAAGTGGTAATTTTTCTTTTCTTTTTCTGGATTTCTTTTTGAAAACACAGTTGATTGGGTTTAGGGAAGTGGGTGATCGGGTGAGTCGATTAGTCAGTGAGTCGACTATGGTGAATTTACGCGAGAACAGCAGGCACGAATGGCACTCGCGAGAGAAATTTGAGGTCTCAAAGCGTACACAACAGCCTCTGGTGGATTCGCAAAAACTGCAAAAAAACGTAGCCCCTGGGTCGTGTTTGGCACTCTCCAGAAATGTATGTAGGGGTACATAATCAGAATAAGCCTGGGTTGCATAAAAAACCTATATAAATATAGTCATATTGCACAGCTTTATTACTCAGCCTTCTTTAAATAAAAGCTTCAGTGCAACTCTAACAAATTAGCTTCTCTTTTGTAGGATTGCACATCAGCCCATTTCCAGACCTGGAAAATCCTGTGTTTTCCCAGCCACGGCCTCTTCCAGATCGTCCTCAGTGTTCGGCGGGGCGTTTGTGTCTCTCCCTCCAGCACCCTGTCGTCCGAGTGGGCATCGGCGTCCTCCCCGGGGGCCGCCAGCGAGGACTTGAGCGAGGGATTGGACAAGCCCCTGGAGAACGATGCCGAGGGCGTGTGGAGTCCAGACATCGAGCAGAGCTTTCAGGAGGCGCTGGCCATCTACCCACCCTGCGGACGCCGCAAGATCATTCTCTCTGATGAGGGCAAGATGTACGGTATGCCCATCCACTCCTGCCTCTCTGCGCCAGATTTAAAGCCAATCAGCGGTTTATGTGCTGAAATATATCGGCTACACATGATAACTAGTGTGTAATGTTGTGCATACAGTTTAAGTCAGAAATAAAATTTAATTCAGCACATTTCTAATTATAATAGTTTTAATAACTCATTTCTAATAACTGATTTATTTTATCTTTGCCATAATGACAGCACATAATATTAGACTAGATATTCTTCAGGATACTAGTGTTCAGCTTAAAGTGACATTTAAAGGCTTAACTAGGGTAATTAGGGTAAAGTTAGGGTAATTAAGCAAGTCATTGTATAACAGTGGTTTGTTCTGGAGACAATCCAAGGGGCTGAAAATATTGACCTTAAAATGATGTTTAAATATTAAGAACTGCTTTTGTTCACGTCAAAATAAAACCAAATAAGACTTTCTCTAGAAGAAAAAATAATATCGGAAATACTGTGAAAAATTCCTGAATCTGTTCAACATCTATATGAAAATCAAATTCGTTTATCAATATGAAAAGAAACAAATTCACAGGAGGGCGAATAATTCTGACTTCAACTGTACAGATATATAGTATATATGTTGATATCATATATAATTATTATAATTAATTATTAATTATTAGAATATAAAGCAGAAATGTTGGTGAATTTTCACACACAGATGAAGGTGGAGTTTTAGGTTTCCCTGATATTTTGTTCCTTGTAAATACTGATAGAGGCATTAACGGAACCAATTATTTGGTTCTCATTCCTTAACCTTTATCAGTACTATTCAATTATTTGGTTTAGGGTTGTAACGGTATGAATTTTTCACGGTATGATAATCGTCTAAAACAATACCACGGTTTGACGGTTTCGCGGTATACGGTATGTTACAAATGTTACAAAATAATAGAACAGTGAAGCAAATTTGACTTTTTCCAAATAATATATTTTTAGTTACTATAAACAACACCACTTACAATGAACAAATAAAAATAAGAAAATAATAAATAATGTGTCAAAGTCCAAATAAAGTCCAAATAAACATGGTGCAAATCCTCAGTAAAAAATAGATATAAATATTTACTATACTATAAATAGTTACATAACGAAACTAGATTCAATATGGAACATCCTTAGGTTTTATGTGCCAGCATGGATATGGTTGTCTGTGGATATGGATATGGATATGGTTGTCTGCAATGCAGACAAACAGCTGCATCTTCATTTGCGTCTTTTGAAAACAGCAAGAGCAGCAGTTCGTCTTTGCTGTGTCACTGTTTTGTCATGTTTCTGTGCTGCTGTGCATGCAAAAGTACTTAGTATAAGAATTATTTCATGCAAAACTTTTTTTTGCATTTTATTTAGCCGCGCATAAATGTATGCCTATCTCTCATTCCGTGTTGTTCAAAAAGCTCAGTGTTGGTCCACAAACAAAAGCGAAACCTATACTTATTGGTTGTGATATAGCGAGTTTGAACCAATCTGGGCATGGAGGAGGGACAATGCATCAATGTATCATGTCTGGTTTGTCCGGAGACACAGTGACGAGCGTTTCTTTGTCAAATCAGCGTTGTCAAATGTTGATGACGTAACCGCACTGATTCCGGAGCCTCTGAAAGTCCGCGAATGTTATGTGATACAGCACTGGAAAGCTGAGATTCTCTTCTTTATGTCAATCTTTGAATTGTATGAATCGGATCAGCGGATCAAAAGTTATTAAACATTTAAGAGCAATACTTATTTTTAGCCGCGGGCGGCTGTCTCGGTCTTTAAGGGTTAAAACCGTTGATATGCAATTGTTCATGGCATGATAATCGTGCACGTTCAAATCGTGGTAAACCGTCATACCGATATATTGTTACAACCCTAATTTGGTTATTTGCTGGTTGGTTGATTGATTGATTGGTTGCTTGATTAATTGATATGCTTTGAAAATGCTGGGCTGTTATAACCAAATGTGGGATCAAATATGGTCCAAAATTATTTTGTTTTATATTTCACCTAATGTTGTGTGACACCAATCCAGCATTTTTTTATTATTTATTTTTGAGTGAACCAATTATTTGGTTCCCATTCCTTGACCTTTATTGGTACTATTGACATATTTGCTGATTGATTTTGTTGATTGATTGGCTGATTGATTGATTGATATGCTCTAAAAATGCTGGGTTGTTGTAACCCAATATTGGGTGAAATATGGTCAAACCATATTTTGTTTGTTTATATTTCACTAACAAATTACAAATCACACATAACCCAGCATTTTTTAGAAATAAAACAACAACAATCATTTGTTTATTTGCTGTTTGATTGATTGATTGATATGCTCTAATAAATGCTGGGTTGTAACCCAATATTGGGTCAAATATGGTTAAACCATATTTTATTTGTTTATATTTTACCAACAAATTGCAAATAACCCATCATTTCTTTTAGAGTAAACCAATTATTTGGTTATTGATTGATTGATATGCTCTAAAAATGCTGGGTTGTTATAACCCAATGTTGGGTCAAATATCGTCCAAAATTATTTTGTCTATATTTCACCCAATGTTGGGTAACAACAACCCAGCATTTTTCTCAGTGAACCAATTATTTGATTGCCATGCCTTAACCTTTGTTGACATTTGGCACTATTGTGTGGCTCATATTTGCTGATTGATTGATTGATTGATTGATTGATTGATTGATTGATTGATTGATTGATTGCGTCAAAAACAACCCAGCATTTTTTTGACCAATTATTTGGCTCCCATTCCTTGACCTTTATTTGGTACTATTGTATAACTTCAGACAGATTGTTTGATTAGGCGATTGTATGATTTATTGATTGGTTGATTTAAATTCTCAATGTTGGGTCAAATATGGACAAACCATATTTTTGGCTTTATATTTCATCCAGCATTCCTGAACCTTTATTTGGTACAATTATAAGACTTCATATTTGCTGATTGATTGTTCAGTTGATTGGTTGTTTGATTGATTAGTTGATTTATTGATTGATTGATTGGTTGGTTGATTGGTTAAGATGCTCTAAAATTTGGGTCAAATATGGTCCAAAATTATTTTGTTTATATTTCACCCAACGTTGGTTTACACAACAACCCAGCATTTTTTAGAGGAAGCCAATTATTTGGTTCTTATTCTTTGACCTTCGTTTGGTAATAAGACTTCATATTTGCTGATTGATCGTTCAGTTGTTTTGTTGGTTGTTTGGTTATCATCAGGGCCAGACGGAATCTGCGGACATTTTTTGCTATTTCTGCGGAGAATTTTGCTAAAAATCTGCGGAATTATTTTGGGAGTATCCAGCGGAGTATCATAACTAAAGCTTTAATATATTAAATAAAAAGTAATAAATTACTGAATAAAAACGGAATAAATTCAGATTTACACATTTACTCAAGTTAATAAACAGAATTAATAATGGGCTAAAAATCTGCGGAATTCTGTGGAAAATCTGCCGAAAATCTATGGAATTCCATGGATTCCATGTGGGCCTAGTTATCATGCTCTAAAAATTGCTGGATTGTTATAACCCATAGTTGGGTCAAATATGGTCCAACATTATTTCGTTACAACAACCCAGCATTTTTAATAATTAACAAATTATTTGGTTCCCATTCTTAGACCTTTATTTGGTACAATTGCTTGACGACAATTGCTCTATCTTTCAGATAGAGTGTTTGATTGACTGACTGATTGATTGATTGATTAATATATACACTCTAAAAATGTTTTATTAATCCAACACTGGCTAAAATATGTGCAAATCTAACAGTTTGGTAAAAAAAAAAAGTAAATTTATGATTTAATTAAATAAAAATTATCCCAAAGCTAAGTTTGTCCATATTTGACCCAACATTGAGTAAATACAACCCTGCATTTTTAATGTGTGGATGGATTAAACTCATTAATTTATTAATTTTCCTTCGGTGTAGCCCCTTTAATAATCAGGAGTTGCCACAGTGGAATGAACCGCCAACTGAACCAGCAAATGTTTTACACGGCGGATGGCCTTCCAGATGCAATCCAGCAACACTGGGAAACCCATACACACTCATTCGCATACTCTACAGCCAATTTAGTTTATTCAATTCCCCTATAACATGTAGGGGACTGGACTGTAGGGGAAACCGGAGCACCCGGAGAAAACCCATGCCAACACCGGGAGAACATGCAAACTCGCACAGAAATGCCAACTGATCCAGCCAGGACTCAAACTAGCGACCTTCTTGCTGGGAGGTGAGAGTGCTAACCACTAAGCCACCGTGCTGCCCCATTACTAAATTATATATATATATATATATATATACTGTATATATATATATATATATATATATATATATATATATATATATATATATATATATATATATATATATATACACACATAATATATATATATATATATATATATATACAT